GGTGAGCGGGGGGTGGGTGCCACCACACCAGGGGTTGCGGTCCCCTTCCCGGCCAAAAAAAAAAAAAAAAAAAAAAAAAAAAAGAAAAGAAATGAGCAGGGTTCGGAACCAATTCAGAGAGAGGCTGAAAGTTAGTGAGAGAAGAAGGAAGTGAGAAAATGGAAGAAAAAAGGGCTGTCTGTGTGGGCAGTCTGCACAGCCGCCCACCTGCCCACGCAGGGCCATGCACAGGGACTATGGCAGTGTCACACAGTGGAAGAGCTGGTCCACCACCGTTTTCCAAGCCCCATCCAAGTCTCAACCTCATGTGACGTTTCTTCCCGTTAGCCAGCCCCACTGTGCTCTCTGCCCTGTGTGTCGATGACCTGTGCTAGATCACAGAGCCCAGCACCATGTGCTTCACCCAGTATGCACACCACAAATGTCGTCTGTGGACTGACTGGCCACATGCAGAGGTGGGTGGACTTCAGTCACGGTTGCTGAAGGAGAAAAGATCTACAGTGTTTCCCCCGCCTCAGCTGAGGGCAGGCTGGGCATTTATGAAATCTGCCTGGCCCAGATTTTTTTCTCAGGTCAGAATTTCCTGTTTTATGAGTAGTAAAGTTTAAACTCAGGTCAAGACCATTAATGTGGTAGTAATGAGATACACACAATTTTATTATGTATGCCATGTGTACCGATCTACTCTTTCTTAACACTTCATGTCTTATAGATCAAAAAGTGTACATCATTGAGCTACTCAAAGAGAACAAAAATCACCGAGTCCTGCATTTTACTCTGCTGTGCTCTTTTTTACACTATCTTCTTAAGTATATAAGCTAATAATACAGTTTACTGAATAAGTCAAAACAAGCCTTCTTATGACATTTTCTGCACTAGTCATTTAAAATAAGAAGAGAGCTAATTACTAAACTGTGCTACATACAGAAGAAAGGTCCTACCTAGTCCTGTCACTTGGAGACAAGCCAGCTGCAGGGTGACGGGTGCTAGTGAGTACTGCTCTTCCTTAAGTCCAGATCATAACTTTTTTTAAAAAGGGTACTTTCAGGTGACAAAACCTCGCTCCACACACCTCACTGGCTGCTCAGAGCAGCGTGAGGACTTACCTTTTGTCTGCTCCACTCGAGAGCTGAGGCAGGGCTTCCAAGGCCTGTTTGAAGCTGGACCTGGAAAGCAAACAGCAGTGCTCAAGCTGAAACATTCCCTGGTTTTGAGGGGAACCAAGAGCATCACTAAAAACTTCTTGAGCATGTCTTAAATATAAAGAAACCAAGGTAAACTAGTGAAGCCAGTGGAAATATAAGAAAAAGTAAAAGTGAAAAGCAACAGAAAAAGTAAAAGTAAAAGTGAGGGCATGCTTACCAAGTGGGGGACTGGCAGGAGCAGGGTCAGAAAACTCAACTGGGAAATGAAACGGAACTTAGGAAGCTAAAGGAGAAGCCGATTTAAAAAAAAAAAAAGGACACTACTCATGATAGGCAAGAGCCTAATGTGGGTATGTTTAGTTTTTTAAAAGGTCATTTTTCTTTTTTTCAAAACAAAACTGAACTATTGATAAAGCAAATGTAAGAAAGTAATGAAACTAAACATAAATAGGGATGATCTTGTGGAAGATTACACAATTAGGGATGTTTACAGTATTGATGTGTATAGGGCCTGACTTCCAGCCAATATCTTCTAATTGAATACAGTCTTTACAGGATTTAGCTATTATATTTAAAATTTGTAGGGTAATGGAGAGATGTATACATACTTTATTAATTCAACATCATTTCTTTACATGAAAAAGGTAAAAGGAATGAATTGAAAAACCACCTCTACGGTATGTTTAACTTTTTCAAGTAGAAAGCATCAGAAAAACTACTGAACCCAAAGAAAAACATCCTAACGGAGATTATTTGGTAATAACTTGTACTGTTCGCTGGAAAACACTTCTTAACTTCTTATCTCTTCTTCTTTTATGACTGGTTGACTGAGGTGAAAGAATAAATGTAATTATTCTTGACTTTAAGGTGGTCTTTGATTTTTTACAGTAAGAACATCCTCATCAATCTTCCAGGAAATAAACTCTTGAACAACATTTCTCAGACTAGAGCATGTGTCACAGCAACGTGCAGAGACGGAAAAGTCCCAGCAGAGGCACATGGGGCTGGGCATCTTCAGCTGCGGCCGCGAGAGGCAGGGCTGGGCGTGGGGCAGTTAGCGCCTTCTCAGCGCTCAGCTGGCTCCCCTCTTTCCTGGTGTGGAGGGAAATCACTGCCACTCTCTCCACCGTCATCCTGTTTCTCACAAACCTCTTCTCAACTGATGGAAAGAAATGTGATGCTACAGTCCTTCGTTCTGACACCGTAACGATGACGAGGAGGCGGCTAAATATCACACCACCTGTTGTCTGCTGTACGCCAACAGTCTAGAAAGTGACTTGACACACGTCTCATTTAATCCTGTCAAAACCTTGCCCATTATTATCCTTTTATATACGAGGAACTTCGGCTCTGAGAGGTTTAGTTAGTGGGAAGAAGCAGACAGGCACTTGCACAGAGTGCACACCCCGACTGGTGCTTCCGATCTCCCACACGGCACTTTGTGCAGAAGAGGGACGGCTGGACAGCTGGGAGGGGGAGGTTAACTAAGGAACACGGTGCCGTCCAGCAGTGGCTTCCTACCCGCACACCCCGACTGGTGCTTCCGATCTCCCACACGGCACTTTGTGCAGAAGAGGGACGGCTGGGACAGCTGGGAGGGGGAGGTTAACTAAGGAACACGGTGCCGTCCAGCAGTGGCTTCCTACCAGACGGCAATGAGAAGCTAACCTCACTTGTTAGGAACAGATTTAAGAAGTCTTTTCAGTTGTAATGATGACAGTAGGACTGAGGGCATAAGCCACATTACCAAGTGCTGGGAATGAATGAGGACGTGTATTTTCACAGCATTCTTAAACATTTTACTTTCATACTGCTTAGCTTCTCAGATTCATTAATAACTCACGCAACCCAGTATTTCCTGGGTGACACTGCCAATGTAGTAAACACTTTTGCATAGGCAAAGAGTAGTTCTGTTTCATTTCACCTACCGATATTTCAATGGTAGGAAATCCTGACTTTCATTCAAAACAGCTAAAAATTATCATCAAATTTCCACTACAAAATTTTTCAGAGAAACCACAAGGCTTCCTCTTATACTGATATTTACACCACTTGAGCTGTCCCTCAGAGTCTGCTATGATAGACTGTCTCAATTCCTATCCTCTCCTTTTTTAAAGAAGTATGTAATACTCTGCTATATTATTTAGGAGACTAACATTTACTGGCAGTGAATGAAAAACATAAAGTTATATTAAACCCCTTTCCTTCATATTCTGCTACAAAGAAGCAGGCTTGAGAGTCATTGGATTATTGTGGATTTATGATTTTTAGCTAAAAAATTGATCAATACGTAAACTTTATCACATCACAAATTCATGAGTGTTTACTCTGATCAGTTACCTTTACAAAAGATATAACACACTTGTGAAACCACCTTCGTTTTCAATAAAGCACTCAGAACCACAGCAGTTGGCATCTTACCTGCTCTCAGGTGTCAGATAAACAGCCACAGTATCCCTCAAAGCACAGATTTCAAGTTTCGCCTGAAGATGAGAAAAGCACAAAGTGACAACCTGAAAATGTGGTGATTATCAACTGTAAATGAGCACTGTCCAGCCTGCTGATTGCAAGGCAGACTGGGCACAGGACCGCCACTGTGACTATTAGTCATGAACAGATTTTCTAAAACAGCCTACAGAAACTGGCTACTACAGCACTTCCACCTACTAAACATTAAACTAAAAATTAAACTGCGACTGAGTGAAGGCAGGGAGCTAGACACCTTGAGGTGAAAAGTGCAGACTGTGCAATGATTTTCCAGCAATCTATATTTACTATCTAACCAGTAATTTTTCTCCTAGTCTGGTTTGAGAGGAAGGAAACTGTGAAGCACTTCCCTGGCAGGTCCGTTCCCCCAGAGCTGAGGACAGGACATGGCTTTGGTCCTCATACCTGGGCCCTGCCAGGCACACTGCCTTAATCTCAAAGGAGACTAAGCCCTACAGAGTCAATACGATCCCTACTAAAATCACAGCTGCCTTTTTTTTAAAAAAATGGAAATTGACAGGTTGATCCTAAAATTAATGTGGAAATGCAAGGGACCCAGAGACCCAGAACAGCCAAAACAATCTTCAAAAAGAATAACACCTTTGGAGGACTCAAACTTTCTGATTTCAAACTTGCTACAAAGCTACAATAATCAAGACAGTGTGGTACTGGCATATGAACAGACAGCTAATCAATGGAGTCCAGAAATAAGCCCTGATATTTATGATTTTCAACAAAGGTGCCAAGACCCTTCACTGAGGAAAGAACAGTCTCTTCAACAAATGCTGCAAGGACAACTGGGTATCCACATGCAAAAGAATAAAGTTGAATTCCTTCTTTAATAGAAAAGTGCACTCCAAATGGATCACAGACCTAAATGTAAGAGATAAAACTATGAATCTCTTAGAAGAAAACAGGAATAAACTTTTGTTACCTTGGGCTAGACAAGCCTTCTTAGACATAATGTCAAAAGTACAAGCAATGAAAGAAAATATAAATAGATTGGACTTCATCAAAATTAAAAACTACTTTGCTACAAAGGATACACCATAGAGAAAGTGAAAAGACAACTCACGGAATGAGATACCACGTCCTACCACCTAGGATGGCTATAATCAATAAGACAGACAATGCAAGTATTGGTGAGGATGTGGGGAAATTGGAACCCTCAAAAATTGCTGGTGAGAATGTAAAATGGTGCAGCCACCTTGGAAAACAGTGTGGCAGTTCCTCAAAATATTAAACATATGACATAACTATAACCCAGAAATTCTAATCCTCAGTACATACTCAAGAAAAATAAAAACATATGTCCACACAAAAGCTTATACACAAATGTTCACAGAAGCATTCTTTACATTGGCCAAAATGTGGTATAAACCCAAATGTCCATCAGCTGATGGATGTGGTATATTTACACAATGAAATATTACTGATCCATAAAAAGGAATGAAGTACTGGCTACACACGGATGACCCCTGAAACAGGATGCTAAGTGAAAGAAGCCAGGTGCAGAGGCAGTATGTATGACTCCATTTATATAAAATTTTCAGAACTGACAAATCATGGAGATGGAAAGCCAAAGGGTGGTTGTCCACAGCAGGGAAGGGGAGGCTGGGAGGAAAATGGTCAGGGACTGCTAATGAGTCTGGGATCTCTTTTTGGGGAGATAAAATGTTCTAAATTTGAATAATGGTAATGATAGGACGACTCTGTGGATATACGAAAAATCGCTGAATTGTTTATTATTTTTATATATAGTAGGCAAATTGTATGGCATGTGAAGTACATCTGCACAAAACTTTTAAGAAAAAAGAACTAACCTAAAGCCTTCACTTCTATGTAGGCTTGCAGAGGTGTGGTCTGACATACCAGCAGGGTTTCCCTGGAGCTCTGGAACAGCCTCAGGTGATGAGAACCTCATCCATGCACTTTATTCTTTGACGCAGGTGCCCACAGTGAGTGGGACGCTCAGGAGAGCATTTAAAAGACACAGACTTTATTCTCAAGGAGTGCATAAAACAGAAAACCATGACAAAAGACATAGCTCTTTACATTACAGTTAATATTTCTAATTAACTGCAATGTCATCTAGATAAAAGCTGATTTATATCAGATACGTATATTCAGTGACTTTTTGTTCGGGAAGCAGTTGTTTGGTTTCACTTTTCAGTGCTTTAAAAGCCTGAAAAATGGTTTGTAACCAGAAAACATATGTATGACAATTTCTGTCTCTATTGTTTGTATCCTAGCAAAGGTTAAAAACAGATCTACAAGGAATATATCAAAGAGAAAAAATAAGGAGAATTTTTAGCTGAATATTTTAGGAGAAATTTTAAGTCACTGTAAAACTAATCTTCAGGTACAAATTTTATTCAGTCAAAATGACTGGGTATTTTAATTAACCCAGAGAATGTCATGGTAAAAGATGAGCTAAAATCGCCAAACTGTCACCTCCTCCTCTCTACACTGGTTTTCAGGAAGGTTCTGGAGATTGGCACTTATGTAAGTGACTATTACAGGTGAAGCTGCAGTCCCTCTCAGGGTTACCTGCTCCCAGAAGAAAGCTCTAAGAGTCATTGCCAATGGGAGAGGGGAAGGTTGGGGTACAGACTCACTTGAATTATTTCAAAATATACATGCCCACACAGTCCTTAGGAGGTATCTAGACTCCTGGAAATTGGGACAGTTACGGTGGCCAGGAGTCTCTTGGACATTTGTATATCAAAGAAGTTCTCCAGCTGCTTCTGATACCTCTTCCACCCTCTCCCTGCTAGCTCTGAGAGGGGGATGTGGCCATCAGGTACAGGGGCTACAGAGGTAACTTGAGGAGAGGGCAGATTTTTGTTATAACTCCAAGACTGCCAAGACCCACTGTAGCTACTGTAACTTCCTTTTAATTCACCATCAGTATTACACAATTTACATTACTGATGTCTGGTTATAGAACTGTTATAATAATCATGACCTTCCAACTTAAACTACAATATCGAAGGTCTGATAAATAAAATTTTTAGAGAACAGTGGTAGCCAACAGAAATAACAGCAGGCATTCTTGTAACAGATCTTCCCCTAACCAAATTAACAGACGCTCTCCATTCCTTTTTTCCCCAATATTTTATTATAAAAATTTTCAAATATATGGGGACTTTGAAAGAATTTTACAGTGAATACCAGTAAAATTAACATTTTAAATTAAAACCTACCATTCACACTCACTCGCACGATCACCTATCTACCCATCAGTCCATCGCATTGTTATGATATACTTCAGCATGCACATTGACACCAGTAAAATTAACATTTTAAATTAAAACCTACCATTAACACTCACTCGCATGATCACCTATCTACCCATCAGTCCATCGCATTGTTATGATATACTTCAGCATGCACATTGACTACAGTGAACTATTGGTGTCAGTTCTTTTTTTGAGTTAGAATTTACACACTACCCAATGCACAAGTCTCCAAGTGCACCATTTGATGAGTTTTGACCAATAATGGACACCTATAAAAGGTAAAAGGCATAGGACCACCTCCCTATGAAACTCCATCATGTCTCTCCCCAGCTAATCTTAACCACCGGGAGGAAATCACTGTTCTGAGTTTCTCCACCACAGATTAGTTTTATCTGTTCTAGAAGTTCATGTCAGTGAAACCCACACAGCATATGCCTATTTTTTGTGTAAGGCTTCCTTTATTCAGCATCATGCTCCCAACATTCATCCATGTTGTACCAGCAGTTTGCCCTTCTTAGTGTTGAATAGCATTTGGTTGTATGAATATACTACAGTTGTCTGTTTATTCTACTGATGGACGTCTGGGTTATTATGAATAAAACTGCTATGAACATTCTTACACATTTTCTTCAAGGGCAGGTGTTTTCAGTTCTAGCCATAACTACAATTGGAATAGCTGGGTCATAGGATACGTGTACATTTAGTTGTAAAAGAAACTGCAAGACCTTTTCCCAAGGCAGTTGTATTATTTTATATTCCCAACAATGTGTGGCAGCTCCAGTCCCTCCGCATTCTTGGTAACAGTTGGTATTGCCAGTCTTTAACTTTCTTTACCATGGTGGATGTGTAATGGTACCTTATTGTAGTGTTAATTTTCATTTCCCTGAAAACTAATGACGCTGACCATCCCTCATGTGCTGACTGGCCATTCCTATTCTTTCAGAAATCTATTAAATGCATGCTAGACCTTTTGACATTGTCCTGGGAGTCCCTGGAGCTCTGTTTAGTTTTCCTCCAATTATTCTTTTCTCTGTTCTTCATATTGAATAATCGCTATTGGTCTATAAGTTAACTGAGTTTTTTCTTTGTCCTTTCCATTCTGCTATTATTCATATACTGTATTTTTCCTTTCCAGAATTTCCACTTAATTGCTTTTTTTTAAGAGTTTCTATTTCTCTGCTGAGATTTCCCAGCTATTGACTCATTATGAGCATGATCCCCTTTGCATCACTCAACACAGCTGCTTTAAAATCCTTGACTGCTAATTCCAACAACTGGACAATCTAATGGTTGGTCTCAGCTGATTATCTTTTCTATTAAGAACAGGTCATGTTTTTCTGTTTTGTTTGTGCATTTCAATTAAATTAAATTTGTATCCTGGACACTGTGAATGTTATGTTGTGGAGACTCTGGATTCTGTAATATGCCTTTGAGGAGTGTTGATTTTTGTTTTGCTTTAGCAAGCAATTAACATATTTGGACTCAGACTGAAAACTCTTGGCTATCGGGCAGCAGCAGTTCACCTCTTAATGTAGTTCTTCTAGCCTTAGCTGGGCTGGCTGGAGTGGCGTTTGACCATGCACGTCTATTTAAGGGGCGACCAGAGATTAAGGCAGCGTACACACAGAATTTGTGGCACGTGTTCTCTACTCTCTGATACCTCCCTTATTTCTCTCTAGTTGTGGCTGCCCCAAAGCCCCTTCTTCAAGCCAGAAAAGCAACAGGTTTTATAGCAGAGTTTAGGCAACTCTGGGCCTGCCTTTAGGCTAAACTCCATAAAAAGTGGGGAATTTACCCAAGTGCCATTTCTTCCAGAATCTGCCCACTAACAGTCGTTCTCTGGTGTGTTCAGGTGTTTTTATTTTTAAAATTTTCAAATTTTTAAAATTTCAGATATTATTCAAGTTTTCAGTTGTTATCTGTGGAGGGATGGCCTGATAGGGGCTTCCTCAGCCATTACTGGAGGCAGAACTGCCGCTGCTTTTTAACACACTCACAGTGCTCCCAGTATATGGAGCCTCTCGGGTAGGAGGTCCCTGTCCCACACGCCTGCATACCTTGGCTCCGACAATTGCCATAAAAGTGCATACCAAATATCAACTGGTTTACCACAGTTATATGTGGTCTTGTAATCACGTAAATTGAATAAATAGGACATGAGAGTCAATGAGACAGGAGTACACAGAGACAGCTATTTGTTGTTTCTATGCAAAGTGCACTGAATGCTTTGAAAAGACTTATTAAAATAAGTTGCTAATAATTTCCTGTGGAATTGAATGTAGTGAAGACAACCGTAAAACGAAGAGAGAAACAAAAATCTGGAGGAATCTGCATTCAGATAATTTCATGAGAGTTTTTAGGGTCTTGTTCTTCTTTAAAGAAACAGAAGCTCTGGAATTCACAAACAACACATCACAGGTATGGTTCATGCAAAGAAGATGAAGTGCACCTCTGATCGGCAGACCCATTACAAAACCTGTCGGCACATCCTAAGACTGGCATGGTAGGCAAGAGCTGAAGTCCCACACGGAACCGAGCAACTCTGGTACCTGCAGTGCTCCGTTCCTGCTGAAGGAGGAAACACACTGCATCAGTCGACTCAGCTCCTCGGAGACCGCTTCCACCACCTTGGCTAGGACCCGAAGCACCAGTTCCCTGGAAATAGTGAACACCTGATGGAAGGTTTGAATAAGAAGAAATGAGGCACTATGAGGATTTTTCCTGGCTTGAATTTGTTAAAAACAAAGTCACACACAAAACAAAAATCCCCACAGGTCTTTTAAGTCATATTTTTAAAAGACCAAAGTTATGAAAGAAAGGAAGATACAGGCTTATACTTAAATTGTATTAACTGATGAACAACAAAAAAAACAATTCTTTTAAAAATACAATATTGGTAAACACAAATTTGAAAGGCATTGTTGATATTGAAAAACTAAAAATTGTTTTGAAAATTTCTTCTTCCTCTTGCCCCTTTCACAAGAAAGAAACATGATTTCTAAAGAAGAAATTATAGAAATAAAAACATACTGGGGTCAGTGTTTTACCACAATTGAAACAAAATTACTGAATCTGACTCTCCTAGAATGTGACAGACACCATTTCACACTGGACACACTACTCTGTACTGGACAACGAGCCCTGCAATTTTACTATATGCTATACTAAATATACATATTCTTTTCATTTGACATACAATATTATTTTCAAACTTTAATGTCTGACACTTTGAAACGGTAGTTATTACATTTGCAGATTCAGTGAATCATTTCGCTCTCCTGATTTATACATTAAAATAAATTGTATTTTCTGTTTTAGCTTTTCCTTTTTTCAGATTGAGCCACTAGTACTAAACCTTTAGGTCAACCCAAAAATAACTCACGTGTTCAAAAAATTTTTCGGCAATTTAAGATAATGTGGCAAATAGTAAATAGTAAATATTATGAATAAAATTCTTTCAGTCATTGGGCTAAACTAAATGGGGGCTTGAAAAGCCTAATATATTTACAAATAACGTCACAGTTATTGATGACGGATGTTAATAAAAGCTCCCTCACTAGGAAGCAGCATCATTGCACCTGCCCCCACTTATTTCACGGTCCCTCTGCCTGCCCACCACAGAGATGCTTCCGCTGATTGACAATCTCATTTTATGCTCTAATTTTATAGGAAGCTAACGGAACAAGAATAGCATTTTTATATTTTTGACAAAATCATGGTTAAAAATATTATTGCTCAGGGCCGGCCCGGTGGCGCACTGCTACAGTGCGCCGCTTGGGAAGTGCGGCAGGGGCGCCC